TACATATACACACATTTTATAATTACATACACTATCTCTGATATTGAGCACTTTTACCTATAGATATAGCATGCCTTAAAACTATTTTACACAGACACTTAAAAAAAAAAAAAAAAAAAGACTATTTTAGTAATAATAGGATTTGTTTGTTTAATGATAAAGGATATTTTAGAGGTGTTTCTAAACATGTAGACTAACCTTATTCTGATGGATTATTATGCTGTTTCTTTTAACTTATTCCAGATGTTTTTGATCAAGTGCTGCCCTCAATTGGTCTAATTGAGAGCAATACTTATTTAAATCAATTATTTGATTCTTATAGAGGAGCTAATAGTTGAGGACATTTTTTCAACATCACCAAATAAATAGTATTATTTTTGGATGAAGATGAGCCTTTTGATAAAATTAGGAGTTCATTTTGCTGGTTCTGTGATACTTTGCATTTCCTGCTGTTACAAAATATCAATTCATCATCACCCATCAAAATCTGCTTCAAAATCAGACTACAAATGATTGGCTATCTCCTGTGTCATAGAATCTTAATTACTCTTATGTTTTGGCCACCCTCAAAATGAAATAGTATACTTGACCATAAAACATTATTCAGTGAAAAATCTCCTGCACAAAACTTTACTAACCACTTTTAACATGTTCAATCACATAACAGATATTCCATAAATGGCAGTTTTTTTTTTTTTTTTTTTTTACAGCTATTGCTGTAGTATTAATAAACAGAAACACCAATTTTGACAAAATTGTTTTTAAAATGTATGCTGATATAGCAGCTGTTCCATATAGTTAAAAGTAACCATTTTGAATGGAGTTAGTTAAAATTCACTTCTGATAAGGTCATGTAGTAACAAAAAAAAAAAAAAAAAAAAAAAATAGTGCAAACTTTTTATGCTACCCAATAAATTCTTAATATAAAAATTAACAAGAAGGACACAGTCTACTCCATATAAATAACTGCTCCAGTTTAGCTAGAAGTGGGGCAGCTAGGTCACCTGTACAATAAGGCTGACTATATCTAATACTGATGAACTGCTACAGTTCATAACTGGAAATATCTTAAGCTACTCACCAAACCAGGACTATAATAGCCTGGTAGATATTTTTCACAAATAGAAACAAGGCACCAAAACGCTTGCTCTGCAGGCATGTGCATCAACAGGACGGCAGCAATTGGACCCTGTGCCTGACAGTACCCATCTTGTGGGTTATGGATGGTATATGCCTTCAAAATTCGAAAGAGATCTTCTTGCCTAGAATTAAAAGGAAAAAGAAATATGATTTATTCCCATCATGGTGAGAAGAATGCTCAGCACTTGTTGCCCATAATAGTCACCAAGTGATAAGTATGATTTTGTTTTGAACTGATAGAGTTAAAAAAAATGTTAAGATAACCTCTATAATTTTGAGAAGAGACATTATAATTTCAAGAATTGTTTCAATGTGATAACTCACTGTGTAACTTATTATCACAATATTTTAGCTGATCCATTCTACAGAATTATTCAGGTGTACAATCCATAAAGAAAGAGAAGAGCCTTTTGTTCATAGTTTGATGGCAATTAGAACAATAATAATGGCTGAAATTATTTGGCTAAGCACATTTCTAGCAATATGAGTGTTGATGATAATTCCATTCTCAGCAACCTATGTAACATGGGTGATTTTATATTTATACATTGGGATGCAATCCATTTACTAACTAAATAAGTCCACATTGGTTTGAACTATACACCTATTCATCAGATTAAGGTATGTCACTTCCCTTATTACTCTCACTTTCCATTTACCAGAGAGGTTAATATAAGTGCTTCTCTCTCCAGATAATGTCTGCCATACCAAACCTTTCTATTTCCTGTTTGTATATGCTTTATGTTCCTCAAGTCTTACTTTCAGGATATGGCTTGTTTCTCCCTCTTCTATTCTTGCCTCATTTGCACAAGAGGTTATAAATGCAATCTTTTGTCAACCACTTCTCTCATATATGACCAACTTCAGTAAATAGATTGCAAAGAGTAATTGTGCTATGGAAAAAAAAAAAAAAATCACCCACATCTTGTAATATCCACAAATTCTTTGTTTTTTGTTTTATGGCATATCAACCTCAATGGATTATTTAATGCTGAGAAAATTTTTATTGCTAGTAATATTTTTTTTTTTCAAAAATGTATTGCTGGTAATTTTTTTCTTTTTTCAAAAATCTATTGGTAGTATTAAAACTTATTTTTATACTTTCATAGTATTTTGACCCCTTTTGGTTTGGTTTATTGAATATCAGCCACAATGTGTTATTTAATGCTGACAAGATTTTTATTGATAATAATTTTTTTTTTCCAAAAATGTATTACTGGTAATAATTTTTTTCCAAAAATGTATTGTGACCCCCTTTTGGGGAGGGGGGAGGTTAGGTATTTGCCCATAGCTGAGACCCTGACAGGAGGGACCTGGGAACACCAGCAATTAAGAGGTGGTTTGACACTCCTCAAAACCTTCTGAGCAAAGGCCTTACTGCTGGATGTAGTTTATCGTCATACCCAGGATGGACAAATTCTTTGGATTTGTTCAGTTGCTCATCTTACATATAGTATAACTACATAGTTGATATTTTTTAATATTCTCCATCCTAGAAACAATATAGTACAGCTTGTAGTTACTTTACTGTATGCTACTGATATCCTTCAAATTTTCCTGCACTTTCACTGATGATTTTTAATGTCTTAAGTTTTTTTTTTTTTTTAAAAAAAACCCAAAAGGAAATTCAAATATATAAAACTTGGTGTATTTTTTTCTTTTTTATATACACAAATAGTTTAACTGATCACTTTACGAATTACTAGGGCATGCAAAATGTGTCCCATTTTTCATCATGGACTGTATAGATGGTCTAATTGAATTTACATAATACCTGTTAAATCAAAATACCTCAAGCAGGCCAAAGATTTCAACAAAAACAAATTGTAAGATTATGATTTTAAAACTAATTCCATGCTGCTGTTTAAAACCAAAGAAAAAAGCAATACAAACATCTAGTAATCTGAAAAGAAAAAAAAATCTCACAATAACAAGAATCTTGTCACATTTTAATAAAAAAAATGTGCAAACAAAATAGATGTACTCTAGTTTTACAGCACATTAGGTTAATAAGTTTAAATAGTGTTGTTATTTTTCTGCAATGCATAAATGTTAACGTTGCGTATCTGCAAGAGAGAAAATTTTCATAAACATTTTCAAGCTGACTTAAAGATATTTATTATAAAATAGCAGGATTGTTTGCTTTTTTTTCTGAATATTACATTTTACAGCCTGGAAAGTTGATTGTGATTTGCTTTATATTAAACATTCCATTTCTTTTTATTTCATGAAAAAAAAAAAAAAAAAAAAAAAATACACGTTATTTACATACCAAAATTCAAGGAAAATACTGTATGATTAAAATTTATGTAATTTACTTTTTGTGATTTTTTACTGACAAAAATGATTAAAGTTAAGTTTTGATTAAATTTCAAAGATTTTTTTAATACATTTTTTTTAAAACTTTAAAACAAATGAAAATTGTGTGCATAAAAAAAAATGATGACAACGTTGGAGCAGGTTACAATAATCTCTTTCCGATAGTATAAAACAATATATTATGGTTTTTGAAAGATTTAAAGTGAAGCTTGGGCAAAAATTATTTTTAAAAAGAAATATCTTTGGAAAGAAATTAAGTGATCAAATTAATGAAAAAATTTGAGTGCAGTATAAAAAAGTTTAATACATTTTGTCTCAGAACAAGAATTTTTAAGAAATTTTGATTACTGATAAAAATTAAAAATTTGAATATATAAACATATAAATTTCTTGAAATATTAATGTATTTAATGTTCATTACAAATGAAACTTATATTTATAGAATGTAAGTCAATGTTTTCACAATAAAATTGGTATTAAGCATCTGATGTTGGTAAAAATTTCAGAATATACTTTTATTTTGATGATAAATATACTCTGAGTTTAATCTGACAAAAATCTGTTTTATTAGAAATACTTACAATAAATTATTTTGTGACATGAAATTTTATTTTGTAATTTGAGTGCTTTTCATATGTGTGGATATATAATAGTACAGTTATTGATATTTATTTATTAATTTCAGATATACAAATATTGACATTGCAAGAAAGATAACCTCAAAAGAGAAAGAAAATATTGTAAAGTTACTGAGTAAACACAACTTTGGAAATTGTGAAAATGTTGAACAGAGATTATGGAACAATCAAAAAAGAAATTGGAAACAGTGGCAAGATAAGAACAAGAAAAAAAAGTTTAATTTTAAAAGAAATTTGAGAAATATTAAAATGATATTAACCAAGAAAAGTGGACTGACCAGCAAGAAAATATCTGAAGCTAGTGTTGTAAATATAAACAGAGAAAAATGAAGTAAAATATTAAGAACATTGGCTAAAGACATGAAAGCAGCAAAACTATCATCAGCAAATAAATATCACAAAGAGAAAGATCAAAATTAAATATAAAAACAAATTTCTCAATAGTAATTTTTAGTGATGAATGTAAAGCTACATGGGATGGACTTGATGGCTGGGTTGTATGTTTAGTCCTTCATGGAAATAATCAAACAATATGATTTAGAAAATGTGGTAGAGGTGGTATAATGTTTTGGGCTAGTATTATAGGCAGTAAGACTATAGGTACCTTCCAAGTTGATGCTTTCAAAATAAAGTTAGATAACTATAAAAAAAATAAAATTTTGTCTAAGAACCAATAATATCACAAGCAAGAAACTTTAAGCTAAAGAGTATATTCATGTAAAAAATTGTTCCTAATTCTGCAATGATAATTATTGCCACATTGTCATAAAAGTTTCAAAGACAGCAAATTAATGGAATGGTCCTCAGCCTTTTGAGAGATTAATCCAACAGAAAACATGATTGATCATTAAAAGTATGTGCAAATGGAAAACAATACTCAAGCAACAAAGGTCTATGGGAAGCAATAATAACTGCCACAAGCTATGTTATGTTGAAATAGCTGAAAAATTAACAAGGTCAATGGCTTAAAGAATGATGGCAGTTAATTGGCATTTCAAAGAGCCCATATTACATAGGATATTGTATATTATGAAATGGACTAAGTCTGACAATCATTTTAACATATTTTCTGTTTATATGTCATTTTTATAGATACAAATATTTAAGTAAATGTTACTTTTATAATAAACAGTATTAACAACATTTACCAGCCTGAATGTCCAAGAAATATGATATTGTGCAAATAGGTTTGATATATACATTTTAGATTTATAAATAAAAATATATCACTTGTTTGCATTATAAAAAAAATGTTATCATTACTATTTAAATAAGGATGAGTATTATAAACAAACTTATAAAATACATTTCTTTTATAAATATACCCTGAAAATTTCACCAACTTTGGTTAGTATTAATTTTATTGTGAAAACATTAAATAATAAAATTTGATTATAAAATGATGAATGCATACCTATTAGTATTACATGTGAAAATGAATTTTAAAAATAAGGCATGAGCTTTCAGAATTATAAAGAGATATTTTTATATAAAAGATAAATTTAAGTATATACTGTGTTTGAAACACAGTAAGCATATGTTTTGTTGAAAAGTGACTTCAATATCATGAGGCATATTCATTTTATAAGTTTCATTCCAATCTAAATCAATGAAACTTAATGTGACCAGATGAGAAATTAAGAGAAAACAAATGAAAAGTATGAATGAATTTGTCATTGGTCACCAATTCAAGGTTGTAACAAGCAAAGTGAAATGAGATTATCAATATAACAAACAAATGAATAAAGAAAGTAGCAACTGTCATGTGGTAGATCAAATGTTAGAATAGCTGAACAACTAAATGGTGATTAGATTTTGTTTAAAAACAGTGTGCATCAAATGTATTATGCTTCAGTTGCTTTATAAGAAAAACTAAAGCAATTAGAAAATTAGAATATTTCTCATTAAAACAATAACACTGATTTAATATGTGGCATTAACAGAAGTTTCTTACTTGCAAACCATTTGCTACCTTTCATTCTTTAAATAAAAAAAAAAGAGAATGTTTTTGCGGAACGTGTTATATTTCTTTTGGGATTGTCAATGAACAAAATTTATGTCAGAGAAACATGCATGAGAAAAGATTACCATTTAAATTACTCTCTTTACATGAAAATAAAATAATTTATGAAAAGTTTGTTTTTTTTATTTTATATCAGAGATTTACAAAATTAAAAATGATAATATTAAAAACAAGAGCTAAAATTAAGTTCTAATTTACTTAATAAATATATTCTAAGTTATTGATAATTCTGGGTAGAAAAAGAGCAAATATTAGAAATTTAACAAAACAGGTAAACTGCTGTTATAAAAATATTGTGTATTTTATGCGCGAACAACAAATGTGAAATTCTTCAAAGATATGCTTATACAGTGATCCCTTGCTAATTCGCGGTTCTACTATCGCGGATTCATGACATCGCAGATTTTTAAAATATATATATATGGAAAATATATCGCAGAGTTTCTGGAAAATTCTAGAAAAATCGCGATAAATAAACACCTAAAATTTTTCATTAAAATATTAATAATAAATATTATTTTCTAGTCTAGGAGCAACAAAACAAGCGTAAAATAGCAATAGAAAGGGCACCGCTGTCTGAAGAGACATAAAATACAATTATTGGCTGCACAGCAGAAGTCATCATCAGCTTCAGCATCATCATTTCTACTGCGCAGCAAATTCATGACCATCATCATTCAAATTATACTTCAACTTCTATCATGTTGAATACAGTAACAATCTTTATTTTTTTTTAAATCTAAATTGTTATTGCTTAACAGTTGTTCTTGTTATTAATAGAGTACTGTCATGGGTGGGTTGTTAACAGTACAGGGAGGGTTTTAAAAGTCCAAGAACACGTTAAATAAATACCGTAAATATAGTGTCCCTACTTTGCGAAAATTCAATTATCACAGCCGGTCTCAGAACCAATCTAGTGCAATAAACGAGGGATCACTGTACATAAAAATCTTATTGAAAAGAAAAGTCTTAATTTGTTCAGCCAGCATCAATGCGTATTAGAACATATGCTTATATAAGCAAAAGTGAGACTGGATTATAAACATTTAGGGATAATTATGTAAATAATTTCAAAGTTTAAAAAGACAAATATGTGTGCACATCATCCTTATTTTGAAAGTTTCAGGTAAAAATCATGGAAACTGAATATAATCAATCTAGGCATTTCAGGAAAGAAATGGATAAGAAAAAATTAAATAACATTCAAATAAATACAAGAAATTTCTCATTTTTAAAAGAAAAATTAGCTTACATCACATAACACTGTACTTACCCATGCCCACCACGCAATGCAAAAATCTCATGTAAAGGAAATTGTCGGTGTAGATCTTTATGAATGTCTTCAATCCACTTTGGGTCTCCAGCCTTATGAAGGTATTCCTGGAAAAATAATAATGGTGTTATGGTAAAGTGATTATCATGTAAAAGAAATTTGAACATAATATTTTTTCATGACACAAAATAGTTAAATCAATCTCTTATGTTTGATATATATCTCTGTGTAGTAGCAGTCTTCGGACAGTTCTCCACATTATGTTTAGTAAACAGGTTTGCTAAGCAATGTCCATGTTCATCAGTTGTTCCCTACTTACAGTTGTCTATCTCATTTGCATATGATACTACACCTCCCTGAATTGGAGAGGTTGTATACCCTTGTTTTTTCTTTTACTATTCCTGATTATTCTTGTACTGTACTGCCCTTCCTTTTGCCTTTCTTGTTTTATCTTTAATGGTGATGTTGGTCTTTCTTAATTTTCTTCATACTTGTCTGTCTTTTCATTCTCACTTTCTTCCATTTTCTGTTCTGTTCCACTTTTGTGACTTTCTGTCTCTTCTTGTTCTTGATCTTCCACTTCCATGTCATCCAGTTTGTTTCTGCTTCTGAATTGCTCTGCATGTGCTAGTATATTTTGTCCCTTTTTCTCTAGTATAGCCGTGTTGTGTCCTTTTTGTATCAGGAAATTTGCTTGTTCTGGCTCAGCCTCTTTATTCTTTCTATAGCATACCTTTTTTTTCGTTGAAAAAGACATAGTTATGGGGGCTTTGATTTGTCTTTCCATTAATGCCAAAGGGCTCAGTTTTCTTTCCTCATGTAGAATGGATCTGTCATTGAAGAGCATTTTTGTAGATACACTTCTATGCTTTCATTAAATGGTGAGAATGCTTTTAATCCCATTTTCAACGTTTGCATCATTCTTTCCACAATGTCCTTAGATTGTGGGTGATACAGTGGTGTCTTGTATGGGATGCATCCAATCTGTTTTAACCATGCACACAAGTTCTCATTGCAAAATTTGGGTGCATTGTCAGTGACCATTGTTTAGGGTACTCCATTCCTTGAGAATATTGTCCTTAGTACTTGCGTTATTGTGGTGGCTTTTCAGTCCTTTACTCCGACAACCTCTGGTCATCCTGAATACGAGTCCACTAATACTAAAAACAATCCCCTATCTTTGACATGTGCGTGATCCATGTGGACCCTAAGCCATGGCTCTGCTTCCTTGGGCCATGAGTGAATTTTTGCTTGCTTGAAGTTTTTTTATTTCTGCACATTTTGGGCATCTCTTAATATATTCCTCTACATCTTTTGAATACCCTGGCCACCAGGGTTGTAACTTTAGTCTTTTTTGCATTGATGTTATGCCCCAATGCATGTCATCATGTACTCCTTTTAGTATATCCCTTCTCAGTATTTGTGGAGCTACAATTATATCTCCATTGCATATTATGCCATTTTCTATGGTTAGTTTGTGCTTCGTGTCTTTAAAGGGTCGCTCTGCCATCGAACAATTGCTCCAAACATTATTTTTTATTCTCTACTATTCTGCCTAATATTGGGTCTTGCTTTGTTTCTATTCTGTATCTACTTAGTGGAAGAACGTCAGTTTCTACCCAGTGTATTATTTTATCTTCGGCATTTTCCTTTTTTTCTTCTGTTTCATTCTTGAACTGTAATCTTTATAAAGAATCTATGTGAGAGATAGCATACAATACTACATAATCATTACTACAAAGTAATATTTGCAAATTAAACCACATAAGTTGATAGACAACTATTTAAGGATAAACTGATTATTTATTTATAACCAGTAATCTTAAATTGCAGGATAGACTGGGTTCTTTAAGGTGGCAGTGTAATAGGAGGAAAACTATGAAACCCAAACAGTGGAAAGTGGCCATCATATAAAAGGCAATAGAAAATTACTCTACTCTCTCAAGAAATTATGGCAATTCACACCTATTAAAGAAAAGGAAACTATGGTGGACCATTATTGCTATGGAGGGACATGATATTTAAGAAAAAAATCTAAAATCATTCAACTAAAGATGATTTGATAGATACATTGAACTGAATATATGGTGAGGATAAAGAAATCTGAATGAAGGGTTTTGGTAACTGATTTTGGTGTATTAGAGTTTGAAAAGAGATCTAAAGAACATAATTTGCTTCATTTTACATTTCTTTCCTGTCTGTTGTTATGCATTTCATGTTGTGTAAAACCTTTTTTTCTTGTTTTTTATTGGAGTTATTGTATTAAAAGAAATACCATAAAATTTTATTTCAGAACTTTAACATCTGCATCACTACAAATCTGTTGGGTCATGTTTAAAATCTTGTCTATTATTTTTCTATTAGTGACACTATTGTTGCCAGAGACAAGTTCATTGTTCCAGTAACTCATGTCATGTTTAGATGGGATCTGAAGAATTCCAAGATCAAGGTTGAAACTTTGTGAGCCTGAGCCAATCATATAAGACAAAACTAAAGTTGATGGGTTCACAAGACTGTCATTATTCAAAGGTTTTGATCAAAGTAAACTAAAATGTCATAAGATTTTAACAGTTTATTTTAGCTGTTGGCTATATAGACATTTCAAAATTAATACCTTCTTTTTCTCCAATTCTAATATTTGACAGTGGTATGCAGTAATCTGAATTATTAGTTCACAAATAGGATGATGATAGAACAAAAGTAGCATGTGTCTGCTTGCTTGTTCTTCCACTTCAAAGATTGGAGTCTTTTTTGTGGCAACTGTTACAGTCTTCCTTATTTTGTCTTCTCTGCTGGCTAAAGTTGAATAATATAAAGTGCACCCCACAATTGTATATATGGAATTCAGCCTATCAGCTCATTACCAATTATGTATTGGCATGGTTTGACCATTAATTTACATTCTCTAAGGACATTCTTTGTTTGGGAAAGCACATGGCTAACTAGCCACTTGATTAAACTTTGGTAACCTACTTCTCCAAAATTATTATCTCTATAAGAACATCAGCAATTATGTCTTTATGTAAACAAACCAGATGTCCCATTGGTCAGCCAAATTTTTTTTCTAAATCCCTTTTTCTGAAATTATTATGTATTCTGTCTACACTAATGTTCCATTGGTACAATATTTTTTATGTAACCAGTTTACCCTCAAAGATTTTGAGAGATAATATTTGATTTTAGATGAAGTAATTTATCATTATTTTCATCCCTTAATTATTAAAAAAATAATTAGCATTCTTAATTAGTTTTTTTTTTCACATTTAATTTTAGTAACCATTAAATGCAATCAAGCTGTCTCTCTCATTTTTTCTCCCCTGAACCCCCCCCCTCCCCGGAGACTTTTCTACATTTAACTCCAGTTTATAAATGGCAAGCCTTTTGGAGTCCTACTTGACAAGAATGAACATGTTACTACTTATCTCATCACATTCCTCCATCATCATTTTTGCAATTCACCACTTTTTGATAAAACATATAGTACTATGCTACTTCTTTTTCTTTTTATTATTAAACATGTAAAAGTTTGTATCCTCATATATCTGTAAAATCAAAACATTATCATGCAGTGAGATTAATGTGCCTTTTTTTATATTTTTTATTACTTCACTCTAGGACTTTCTTCAGGACTTTTTTGTAATTCACATATTTCATTATATATATATATATATATATATATATATACTAGCAGCAGAGCCCAGCATTGCCCGGGGATGTAATAGTAAGAGATAGATCAAGTATTGACCATCATAAAGACTGAAAAATAAAATTGACAAAGATTATTTTTTAAGGTTGATGGACACGCATGTCTTAATTCATTTTTATTTTTTTTGTATTGTTTTTTTTTTTTACGAATTGGTCAAACTCAAACAAAAACATTGTTTTCAATCGTTATGAATCTACCGATTGAATAGAATTTTATTATAAACAATTGTCTTGTAAATGGAATTTTTAAAGCATTCTGAATGTAAAAATAAAGAAAAAAGTGTGCAAGACAATAAGAAACACTACCTGCCAAAAAAAAAATAAGTGAAGTTTTGTTGAAATTGGTTGAAAAATGTAGGAAATCCAATCCCATATATAAACGAACACACGCACACAAACAACCTAGGTTTTATAATAAGTATAACTCGATATGAGTTGTCTTCCTTTCATTCTCGCGATAGCGATGCCTCTTAATCATGTTTTCAAATTGATCTTGTGCAAAAACAATTGTGTTTTCCCAATTTTTGTTGTTGTCAGAACCACCGCAAGGTAATTTTACGTAGTCCTATGAAGTTTTGTTGAAATCAGTTGAAAACTGTAGGAAATCCAATCCAATATATAAACGAACAGACACACACACACAACCTGGGTTTTATAATAAGTATGAGATTATTTATTTATATATATATATATATATATATATATATATATATATATATATATATATATATATATATAGTATATTTTTTTTTCATTATATAGTTCATAAATATAGTAATCATTTTTCTTTTTAAACCATGAAATATAAATAATTTTTCTTTTTACTTTTTCCACTTCATACTTAAAACGTTTCAATTAGTGCTCCACCTGTCCACTGGCATATTTTAGCAACAATCCTCAAATATTTGCATTCAGTTCTGTCAATTTCAGTTACTCCTCTTTATTCCGACATGTCCTTCATCTCTCTTCAGAGGCTAATGTCTAACCTGTCCATCTTTCAAACATTGGTCTCCATAATTGCTTTCTTTTTTCACTCAGATTCTTAGAAACATACATACACACACACACACATATATATATATATATATATATATATATATATATATATTTCCTCAGGGTGTTTTAACATAGTTAAATTTATGATGGAGATGGCAATTCTTGAAAATGCAGGTATAAATCTTCAGTAATACCCAATTGTTCCAATAGACCACCTGACCTTTTTCACTGTGCAAAGGCTCACACAAGACCAAATGCTTCCAACTTACCTTTATCAAGTTTCCTTCATTCTTATGAATCACAAATATTAGGATGGTTGGAAAGTAATTACGTATTTCACTGTTATAAATGGAGTCAACCAACCAAACTAAAACCAGCGTTGAATGATAGGAAACTGTTTAGAATT